CTGAAACTCTCTGGAATGGGCATCAGGGTGAGGGTATCATGGTCACATCCCCATCCCAGCTTGAGGATCCTGCCTGGCCAAGTGCCACTGCTCCACGGTTCTGATGACTGTCAATGGGAAACAATCCCTTCCAGGCCCTGCAAACCATCACTTCCCTTGGGGACCAACACACTACAGCTGATCAAGCCCGTTGGCCTTCTGCACCCCAAATGGAGCTCCTGGAGGAGCTGCTTGCTCCAGCTCTGCCTGTACCCATGCCTGACCCCCAGCTCTGGTCCACACTGGAACTGTTCCTCACCTCAACCTGGGGAGTCCCTTGACAATTGAATCAGACCAGCAATGCTGAGTGGCCACGGAATGTCACCATCAGCTCTTCTCTATCACTCTCATCCCCAAGGGCTGTCCAGGGCCACGGTCTTTGCCCACATGCCTAGCCCTGCTCTTCTCCTGCAGGTTTGCCACATCACCAGCTTCTGCAGCCACAGCCCATCAGTGAGGCCTGGCTGTGGTGTGGTTGGGAGGTGACAAAGAGGCATGGGATGGGCACACAGCCTTGGGGCACAGAGAGCCCAGAACGAAGCCCTGAGGTGGGAAGGGGGTTCACCTGCCCTGAGGGAAAGGCAGCCCCGTTGGTGTGAACCCACCTGGCAGTGCAGAGTGGATGGTGCTGTCTGTTCTGTGCAGGGCGACGCATGCCAGGCACAACTGGCAGTACAGGCTACGGCATCAGGGCCGTGGATGCAGCCCCTGAAAAGAGGGGTCAGTTCACCCACACCACCCTGATTGTCAAGGTGCTGCCTTGGCCCTAAGGGATCACCCCTGTGTGCACTGGGGTGACCTTGCTCACAAGCAAATTCCCCAAACACTCACAGTCACACTCAGGATGCCCCAACCCACCCCAAGGGGGAACTTCAGAGCCCTCCCCTAAACCTCAGTGCCAGCCCCATTGGCTGCCAGGGCCATGAGCACCAGCACAGCTGCCCAGGCAGAGCCAGCCTGAGACATCTCCAGC